AAAGTAGCTAAGGTCTATATATACGAAAGTAAAAGCGCCAAGGACTCGTAAACTATAGTTTATAAGTTAAAAAGCGAGGAATAAGAGAATACGAAAAATACGAAAGAAAAAAGGAAAGAAGTAATTTAGCGTATATAAAGTGCGTTTAAAAGACTTGGCGTATCGTTATACTACCTTTCCGTCCGAAAAAAGCTCGTCCTCGAGCGTTTATTTATTGCTTTATCATTGCTTAAGTGATCGTAATTATTAATACCGTTCGAATAAGCCTTGATTTAATCGAAGAGCTTCGCGGAAAAGCCGAAGAGCTTTTTATATTCCAAGTAGAAGTCACGTACTTTAAAAAGAGCGTATATAAAGTCGAAAGCGGAGTACTAAGTAAGGTCGATATCGCGGCCGAGCTAAAAAGCGTAGTACTTAAAGTGCTTTTTAGTTTAACGTACGGTTAAAATGTTTTCCACTTCGTACTTAAGTTCGCTAGTGATATTAATCGAGTTAAGTTTAAGAATAATTTGCTCGAGAGTAAAGTTATTAAAAGCTTTTTATAGCCGTCCGGAATAGAAAATTAAGTAAACTTTTATTAATTCGAAAAGCTTAAGTTTAAAGCTGCTATAAACGTTGTTAGTAACTTCGAACGATCTGTTCGTAAAGTTATCGAGCTTCTTTAACGGTCGGAAAGTAAAGAACGAGCGTATATCTAATTAAACTTTATCATTAACGTCGAAATCAACCGAGCGCTTTAATTTATTAGCTTATTTAGCTATGCGGTCTTAAGCGCGTTAAAAGTGCTTTTTAGCGAAGTTCTAAGCTTCAAGGTGGCGGTTAGCGTAAGCGCGAGCTTCGTCTTAATTAAGCTTATAAGAAAAGGTTTAATCGTTAAGTCGTTTTAAGCTCTAATTTTAAGTAGTCCGAAAGGCGTAGCCGTAGATTACTTTAAAAAAAGAAAGACCGCCGAAAGAGTCGTGAGAGAGCGTCAATTAAGCGAAGTCTATTATAAGAAAGAACTTACTTTAATCGTCTTAATAATAACTTACGAAAAGATAGAAGCGCTTTTGCAAGTATTAGTTATAAATTTCGATCTGACCGTTAATCTCAAAGTGTACGGCGGTGCTAAAAGTTAATTTAATGCCGAAGATTTTATTAAATTCTTTTTAAAAGTCGAACTAATATTAAAGTCTTCTATTAAAAGTCAGTGTTAAAAGAGCTTTAAAATACTTGTAGATATAATAGATATAAAGCTTAACGAAGCTTTTAGCATCGATAAACTTATAATAAAAAATCGAGATTGCTTGCTTAAAAAGGCGATTGATTATTATAAAGACGTTATCGTAGCCGTGTTTGTCTTTATTAAAGCTATAAAAATCTATAATAACGTGCTCTTAAAAGCGCGAAAAGATCGGAAGAAATTAAAGCAAACTAAGTTTTTTATCGCGAAGCATTAAAGCTCGTTTGCAAGCGTAGCAATTGCGGCAATATTAATTGACGAATTTAGCTATACCGTGCTAATAATATTATGCTGCAAAAAGCTTATAAATTTTGCAAGAGCTAAGGTATGCCGTAAATACTTAGTCGTAGACTTTTCGAACGAGTAACGAGCGCAAGTTTTAAACGTCGAGAATTAATAAACGGCCGTCATAAAGCAATAAGTCGCTTTTTATAATGAGTTTAGCTCGTAAATCGTAGTTTATAAGTAAAGACTTAGCTTTAAAAGCTTGAATTCGAAGTGCTATAAAACTAAAAGCGGTCCGATTAGCTTTTAAGACTTAATTAATAACTTAAAATATCGATAAAAGCTTCGCGATCTCTTTAATAATAACGGCGGTCTTCGAAAGCGTAAGTTAGCGTAGCTTTTTGATTAAGAGTCGTAAGTCAACGTTATCGGCGCGGAGCAGCGTTTGCAAGCGTTAAGTACGCTTAAAGCTGTTTTAAAAAAAGAGCTCTTTGGTGCGACGTATTAGCGCGTTAGTTAAAAGGTTATCTTTACTTAGTCTATACGTAATAATAAAGTTGTAATCGGAAAAGAGCTTTGCTTAACGTGCTTAACGAGCGTTAAAGATCTTGGAAGTCATAAAGTACTTCAAGGCCTTATAATCGGTAATTACTTAAACTTAGTAAAAGAAGCTAGCGAGTTCGGCGCGGAAGTTATTAAAAAAGCGTATAATAGCTAGCATCTTTTTATCGTAGACGACGTAATTGAGCTTAGCGAGAGCTATAGTTTTAAAGTAGTAAGCGATTAATAGCCAATCGGAATTATGCTTTTAAAAGAGGATTAAAGCGATTACGCCGTCGGAAGCGTTAGTTTTTAATATATAAAAGAGGTTTTAATTATAATGCTATAAGATCGGCGCAATAATTAAAGCGAGCTTTAAGAGGTCGAAGCTCTTTTAATATTAAGAATTAAATAAAAAAAGAACGTTAACCTTAATTAAGTGCATTAAAAGCTTCGCGATCACGCCGTAATCTCGAATGAATCGGCGGTAGAAGTTATAAAATCTAAAGAAGCTTTAAATGCTTTTAACGGTTGTAAAAGGCGCCCAATGCTTTATTATCGAAGTCTTGTTCGAATCTACTTTTAAGCTTTCGATAGAAATAATAAAGCTTAAGTATTTTACTTTAATAATACTGAATTCGCACTTTTTAATATCAGCTTAAAAGCTAGCGTCGTCGAGTCGTTAAAGAACTTAGCGGACGTAGCTAGCGTGCTTTAAAAGGTCGGAGGAGTAGATTAAGATATCGTTTGAATATGCCGTGCAAAAGATGTTTAAAAAGTCGAAGAAGAAGTTATTTATATAACGTTAATAAGTGGCGGGTTTATTAGTTAGTTCGAATAAAAGAACTTTGTACTTATAAGCACCGTAACGTATTCTGAATGTTATAAGCTTTTCGAAAGCTAGGTCTATTCGTATTTTATAAAAGGCTTGCCGAATGTCGAGTTTCGTAAAGATTTTAGCTTTTAAAAGACGTGCGAAAGTCTTATCGATTAAAAAGAAAAAGTATCGATCTTTACGAATAAAGTTGTTTAGCGCGCGGAAGTCAATATAAAAGCGGAAAGAACCGTTTTGCTTTTTAGCAAAAAGGATTAAAGCTGCAAATAGCGCTATTAAAAGTTCGATAAAACCTTTATTAAGATTGTCGATAAAGTAAGCTTTAATAAGCTTTAGCTTAAAGATCGATATTTTATATAATAATAAGTACCGAAGCGCTTTTTTTTTCTTTTCGAAAAGCTCGATTTTATAATCGTAAGGCTTGTATGGTGCTAGTACGTTGCTAGCGGCTTTAAGAAAACACGTATACGTAATCGAAGTACTCGAAAGAGATAAGAAGGTCGTTAATAAGCTTTAATAATTTCGTAGCAAAGTTAATAGCAAAGATAGAGCCGTTAGTAAAGCGTGTTAGCATTGTTTAATAATCAGTTTAAATAAAAGCAATCGTTTAACGCTTAGAGATCAAGTAATCGAGCTTGTAAAAAGATATAAAGAATAGTTTTACGTCTTTTTAGCGAGCGATCATATAAAAAGCGTGTTCGAAAACGCCGTTGATTTTAAAGTTTCTATTAATTTTATGCTTAAATGTTTAACGAAAGCGTTTAACGAGTAAAAAAAGTTCTACGGAAGCGATATCGGTTGATATAAGCTTACGGTTTATTTAAAATATTGATTTAGCGTAGTCTTTAGAAAAAGTGTTTTTCGTAAAGCGAAAGAATGACGGCTTTACGAGAAAGTAAATAAAAGAAAAGGGTTTAACGATCTTAAAAGAAGAAGCGAAAAGAAGACGATTTTAAAAAAAAAGAAATGATTTTGCGATTATCGTTGCTGCTTAATCCGCTCGTAAACTATAGTTTACGAATGAATTAGCGTCGTAAGCTTTTTAAAAGCGATTCAAAGCTCGATCACGCTTATTAGCGTCGTGCTAATGACGAGCGTTTACTTTACGCTAATTAAGATATGTAATTTTAATAGGTTTAGCGTAAATAGCGGTCGGAAGATTAAAACGAAGCTAATAAAGCTTGCGGCGAGCGCAGTTAAAAAGAATCTAATGCTTAATTAGCTATGCTCGTTCGAAGATTACGCTATGATTTTTAAAGTTAATAATAAGAAAAAGAATAAAAGATTAAACGCGCTTATTAACCGTAAGATTAAAAAGTGTAAAATGTAAAATAATAGCTTTACGAGCTCTATTGTATAATTTAACGGAGAATAAGGCCGAAAAAGGTTGAATTAAAAGTTTAAAAAAGAAAGAAAGTGATTTGAGTAGCGCTAAGTCAATTAACGCGTATCTATTAGCTTTTAAGTCGAGCAAAGCAAATACTTTATACGAAAGGCTATTCTTAATAAAGGTAACGAGTATAATTATAGCTTTATTATTAAAAAGCTTTATAAAGTCGAAGTATCGCATATCTCGAAGCTAGCTTAAAAAAAAGGCTTTGCTTAAGCCTCGACGTTTCTTTTATTATCAAGAGCATCGAAGTTAATAAAAGAGAGCTTTTAAT